TCGTGTTTAGTTGTTGACTTAACTTTTGTTTCCTTAAATAAGTTGTGTTTCAAGTTTAGTGACATGTCACAATTATAGTGGGGATTCAATAGTAAGGAAGATAAAAAACTGAAAAACTAGATGAAACTAGTGAAACTTGGGCTCATCAGAGTGGAGGTGATTTTCAATTAAAATTTAAAATATTCCTCTTCAGGCCTCTTTAAAAACATAGTATGCACTTCTTCCCTAGGTTTGCACAACATTTCTAATATCAGTTCATCGTCAAATTCCTCAGCTAACAAATACTTTACTATTTGCTTTTTACAGCTCATTTTCAGAAACATTCCTTTCGCCACCAAAGTAAACGACTTATCAAATAATCGCAAGGAACGGACGCTTCTGGCAAAATAGGCCCGAGCGATAGACGCTGAGCGATTATTGCTCTAGCGATCATCGCTGAGCGTCAAACGCACCAGACGCTTCTGGAAAAACGGGCCTTTAGGCATTACCTAACAATGCCTCATTGTCATACATCCATTCCTCATTATTGTGTTATTCCTGATTATTGTGTTTTACTCATAAATGTCTGAATGGTATTGATATTAGGCTAGATGGAGTCATTTGTCGATGTTAAGAAGGGAGATAGATATACATTGGTGTAAGTGTTAGAATACCTAAGACCATGATATCAATTAGGCTCCAAAATTAATTTTTATCTGTTAAATCTATGTACGACAGATTTATTCTCCACAAAAAGATTTCATGAAAATAAGAGTTCAATTAATCTATTTTGAAACGATATTTCACACTAGAAATTCGCATTTATCTAAAGTTACAATAAACAATTTCAAAGAAGAATATCACCCATCTCCTAGGACGAAATTCAAAATTAGTTTGTATATTTATGCACAATGAGTAGTGGACAAATGAAGCAGTTTGTTATGCGAGAGTTGTACACTCGTCCACCTTGTCATGCAAATGTCCAAAGCTTTTTACTGCTTTGGATCTCAACAGGGACTTTATGTCAATAAAAACAGAGTATTTACAATACAGTACTTATAAAACGCAAAACACTTTAAAAACCTAACAAATCCAACTGTTGGGTTAATATAATAAAATACAAACTTATCAATGTAATATTTATTCATGTATTAAGTTTTCCGTAACGTGAGGTTAGTGAACATTAAACTACCATCTAGGTATATTAATAGGCAAGCATGTTTCTTTAAAACCTTTTTTCTCAGCTCATGTGCATCGTAGGGAAAATCTACGCATACTGTGTGAAAGATATTTTCCTGTAGGTGTGCTGAGTCCCTTTATAAATTAAAATAGGCTCTGAAATAAGCGCAAATAACGAATTTAAAATTAAAAAAAAATTAAGTGGGCCTTATGGGTTGCTATGCTGGCAACGAAACATAAACAGAAAATCAAAACAAATGGAAGAAATTCCAATCACATGTTTTATTTACAGAATGGGGTGAAAATAGAGAAGTCTGAACATTAGATATTTTTGGTCGAGTTTTTTAACCACGGGACGACCTCTAGTTATTATTAAATTAAGGGAAAATGTTTTGATAATACAGAAATTAGCATTATACAAACAATTCTCAAAGATATCATTAGAATCCCACCAACGTTAACAGCAATTTATGTTCGTAATTATGTAAAATATTACAGTTATTAAATTTGTTTACATTCCGTAATTAATATTATATTCATATGTCCAAGCAGATGTAATATTTATGATTAGTTGAAAAATAGTTATTGAATACTGTTCCAATCCAAACAAAACCAAACTTGTATTGTTCGTAATCTCTTTGTCGCCGCCCCAAAGCTTAAGCCGCTGTCTCAAAGGAGGCAATTTGTTATTGGCAGCGTGTGTTAGAGAGCCGTTTCTAATTATCTCACAACGTTCAAAACGTGTTTGGATTACTAACATTTACTATTAGAACATGTATCCTACTAGTCATCTTTGCTTGACAAATTTGACAAATTTCTTTATTTACCTTATGCTACTTTTTTGATGTTTGATAAAAAGTAACACTATTCCCTTCTCCAGTCCACATACATAAAATACAGTCCTAAATACATGTAAAATCTTATGTAATTTATTAGGGTAAAGATATGACCTTTTTGGTAACATTTAAGTAAAAACCATATTTTACAAATAACAATTGGCTTAGTCTGCAGGTTTGCTCTCGCGGGGTATTTAACTATTAGGTTTGGCGTAAGAGTATTTGATGATTGATACACCATAATATAAAACAGAAGAAGAAGTTATCCCCCTATCCTAAAAGAAGTCCGTAGAACCTGAATAACAAGTTTCTTATGTACGTCTATTTTTTATGTACGTACGTTTAATCAAGGGGGTAACTTGTTATTATGGGTGACTTGTTATCGAGGGTCGTGTTACTGAGGTTCCACTATTGTAGAGTCAGAATAAGCTGCAGATATTGATAATCTACATACTGCCCAAACCACCCTGGATGGTAGAGTAAACCGTCTGATTCTCGGAGTTATTCCATGTTGGAATCATTCCAGAAGCTTCCCTCTTGGACACAGCTTTTGGAATTTTGTATGGTTTTAAGCTGCCTTTGGGTTTTTCTTAGAATATTTTAGTGCTTATCTTAATGTTGATCGTTCATAAAAAACAAGGCAATAGAAAGAAACAAAATCATTACTTTTACAAAGCTAGGATATTAAACTCAGTTAATTTTGCATTTACCACTTAAATCATATCAAAATTGTTGTAATTTAGCAGACATTGAATCAGTCCACTAAGTCAACTTAGGTCGTTAAGGCAGGGTATTAAGCTGGAATAATGGGACTGAGGTAAGTTTCTATGAGCATTTCATCAAGCTATTATGCTACGTTATAATAACCACCCATGCACTCTTATAACCAGTAGACTTTCCTAAAAATATTGCATAAGTCTTGACTAACTAAAGGAGTTATGCTATTATGCATGTTATTAGTATTATGAACAACGAGTTAAATTATTGTAGTTTTCACTTTCGCCTTTGGTTGGTGCCCCTAATTTGAACACGACTAAAACAGAACATATAGCACAAATAGTTTAACAATGCTGTAGTATGTGTCGTACTGATTGGCGTCAAGAGAGGGATTTAGCTTGCTACAACAAGTCTAAAAAGCTCACTTTACAGTGTGTGGTTGACACAACGCATTTGCTCACGTTCTAATAGAGGGCACCCGCCACCGGGATAAGAGATAACCAAAGCATTATGTGAGCGGATCTATATTTAAATTTTTTAGACTCTTTTTTATAATTTGTTTACAACAAAATATTTTCCATATTTCTATAATCAGTCAGAAATTACTTTAGAGTGAAATTACTTTACTCTTTGATTGCGGTCTTGCTGTTTATGTTTTTGTTGTTTATTCTTTTATTACAGCTTGCAGTTTTGCTAGATTTCGAGCAACAAGTTATCTAGTTAGCAATTATGCCTCATTACCAACCACATCTTAACTTAATGTAAACAGTTATAAATAAAAAGTTACCTAAAAGCTGTATAGTCTGATCAATTACCTAACAGATGAAGCAGTCGATCAACCCTCAGCTCTATAAGGTAGATAGACTGAACGATGCGAGAGGCCAAGTTTTAATAAAGACTTCCAGATATTGATAACCTCCTTACTTCCCCAAACTACTTGGGACGCTCGAGTACCGTCTGTTTCTCGGAGTTATTCCATGTTGGAATCATTCCAGAAGCTTCCCTCTTGGCTCTTCTTATCACATTTTCTCTTCAGTCCACTTGGAAGCACAATCATCCCATAACTTCTTTTTCATTTAATAAAAACTGCTTTTGAAATGTTGACGAGTTTTAAACTAACTCTTTTATCTTTCTAAGTAAAGCTATACATTATCAGTAGACCTTATTTTTATCGCCAGTTGCTAAATAAATTAATATGTTACATTATGTATCTTAGTTATTTTTCACAAAAAAAGTAATATTATGAACTTATTGTAGTTTGTTTGAACTTGCTATCAACTTTTACACTACCGGTATTCAATATCAAATTTAAGCCTTTTATATAGGTATCAGTCAGCTTAGCTATGTAAATCTAGGTCGTTAAGATAGGACTAGTTCGAATACTGGGTTTGAGGTAAGTTTCTATGAGCTATTTATCTAGCCATTTATGTTATAATAACACCTTATACCAATACATTTACTGCTATAAAACAGGACATGTTTTATGATTAAATCCTTCTTACACTTTTGAATATACGAGTATTAAAGTATTATTCAAAAGGAAAAAAGAAAAAAATATATATAATCCATAGAATAAATAGAGATATAATTCAAACATTAAAATAGAGGTAAATCGAAACAGAGAATATATAACCATTTTTAATGAATTTTACTTACCCATATCTAATCCATGTCATTCGTCTTTTAGATTTACATGAAATGGCATCTTACAGTTTGAGAAAAAAAGGAAAATAATAGTCAACCATTGTAAACAGTGTTTGTAATCAAATTATAGCGAATTTTAGAGTCGTAGAAAAAATATAAAGACGGTTTGAAGGACAGTAAAAAGAGCGATATAATCTTTAATTTGATTCAAGTGTATCTGAAAGACAAAACACAAACCCTAACCATTCTAGATGCACAAAGTCATGCTCCAATTGTGAAATGATGCAGCATGGACGAGCAAACACCTTAAGACGCATGTTTACTGTTACTTTCTTTTTTAAATATCAAAACACCCGAATGGCTCTTTTTGCACTATTGCTGTGAAAATTTAACTGTACACCTCACTGTAGATGTAAAACAAGAAGTGTTTTAAAGAAATTCCATTACAACTCTGCCCTAGAGTATTTGGCATTTTTTAAATCATCTTATAAAATACTGTATATATTTTATTTAACTAAACAAAATTCCTTTTAAATTAAAATACCTGGTGAATTAGTCGGTCAGTTGAGAGTAGGCTATATTTTAAAATATTTATTTTGAAAAACATAACAAATATATACACATTTTAAAATGTTAAAAATATATTTATAGTTCATGGTTGCCAAAGTGGAAAATTTCGTGTCCTTGCTTCTCTTCTTGGTGGTGATGTCCTCCGAAGTGATGTTCCTCATGTGCATGATGCTCGTGGACATGGACCGGAATGTGAACCTTGACTGGATACGGCACCTCCTTCTCCACCGGGTAGGGAACCTTCTTCTCTACGTAGACGGGGTAAGGCTTCTCCACAGGGTAGGGGACTGGCTTCTGAACTGGCACCTTGACGGGATAAGGAACTTTCTTCTCGACGGGGTAAGGCACGTGTTTGACAACAGGAACGAGATAGGGGACAGGCCGGGGGACATGCACCTTGACCGGGTAGGGGATGTGTTTCTCTACATGGTAAGGCACCTTCTTCTCTACGTAGACGGGGTAAGGCTTGGAGATATGCACGGGGACTGGTCTAACCACAGGAACCTTCACAGGGTAAGGAATCTTCTTCTCGACAGGGTAAGGCTTAGGGATGTACTCCTTGACCGGGTAAGGCACTTTCTTCTCCACAGTCACAGGGTAAGGTTTCTCCACAGGGTATGGGACCGGCCTCTCGACGTGCACCTTGACAGGGTACGGTACCTTCTTCTCCACGTGGACCGGGTACGGCACCTTCACCTCCTTCTCTATAGTGATGGTCTTCACCTCGTGGTGGTGATGATTACTAAAGTCATGTTCTCCGAAGTCTTGACCTCCAAAACCATGACTTTGTAAATCATGTTCACCAAAGTCTCCATTACTTAACTCGTGTCCACCGAAGTTTTCTATTCCTCTCTTGTCATGTGTCTTCTCTTCTTTCTTATCTTCGACCTTCTTCTCCACGGCGAAGACAGCAGTCACCAACAACAAGACTAGAAGACACTTCATCTCCACTGATGTCTACAGACGAGTGTGTCTGGTACCTAGAGTCTGGTGGGTTTTATACATCTTCAGTCACATAACTCTGTATGTTGGTCAATGCAATGCAGACGCTTCCCAATTCCTCACCATAACAGTCTTCAGATACGGTTCGTTACCTGGCATACGTATGATGCATATCTTAAAGTTTGACTCATAACTGATATAGGTTGATACGAGAGTGTTTACGCTCACTATCATATTATACTACGAGCTATGTCTGTACGTGGAATTGTGGGGTTTTTAAAAACTTATATTGGTATTCAGCACAAGGTTTTAGCCTATTTTGGAACTAAGCATGTTTAGGTACAAAGACGTGATTGGCGAAAGCCAATACCTTAAGAAAAGTTACTATTTCGTTACCTAAGAGTGTGAAAAAATTTGAAAAAATAACCTTAGATTCGTAAGCAAGTTCTAGGATTACACAGCGGATTTTTGGTATAACTGGCCATGAAACTTTTCAAAACTACCTTTTTCGCTGCACCTCTTATTTATTTAAGAACCTAAACCTTACACCCAACGTGTATTTGAAAAGTAAAACTAATTGAATATACTTAAACTAAATTCCCATACTCATTTAAACCATTTTCAAACATTTCTAAAAAGTGGATAATACACTAATGTTTTTGGCGTTAGTTTAAACTTTTTAGATTTACTTATATTATTAATGTAATGAATTAGATAAGTCATTAAACTAGAAACGTCATCGTGGTAATTAAAGTTTATTAGGTTGTAACAAGTAAATTCATATCCCATCAAGTTATTAAGGTTTATCATTAATAATTGTATTTTACAACTGCTTGGTCTTTGTGCAATTACAAGTTAAAATGAACTGAAGTTCGAACTGCAATAATTGAAGGAACTTGTGCCGCTATCGTAAGATCAAGTTTTAATTGCATATCGTAATGATGCCCAAGAGATCGAGTATTTACTAAAGTAATCTTGAACTAATCTCTTACTTGTAATATTAAACATGTCTATTATTGTAAAAATATATTCTAAGGGGTTTTGATATCACCATTTCAAATACTCTAAATACTTATTTATTTTTAAACACAAATCTTCCGTAAGCAAATAAAATGCTGGACTCCGCCAATAGTTATTACACCAGTAGGATTATTATAAAATACTAATACAATTATATAGCACATTTTTTACACATTTTATGAATATTTCTCAAAAGTTTTCTATTTATTCTTTTCTTAACAACTCAAACTTATAACTTATAACTTATATAACTCAAATTTATAAGAACGAGAGGTATTTTGGAAATCTATGAAATAAATTACGATATCGTATGTATACGAAGATATGTATATTCAGGAGATATATGTAGGTCAGAAGATAAATTATGTTACCTTAAAAATTATAGTCTTAAAAAATAGTAGGTGATTGGAAGTGAGTGAATGAATGCAGAGGTTAATATTTCTATGACCATGTCACCACTAGTAGTCTTTAGTTAGGGTTAGCATTTGTAATGAAAGAAAAGAATCAAGAATGAATAAAGAATCAAGAATTTATTCACCATTAAATACAATATACAATAGGTGTCGTCAATGTTTTAACACAAATCAATGCATAATATCTTGAGTGTCACGGATCAGGTACTCTCAATTGGTATAAAATGTCTTAACCTTAATTCACTTGCTAATAACATTGTTAAATTCCTTAGGTGGTAACAAGTTAACGTTAGGTGGCAGTTTATAATACATTAACATTTGAAGGTAACTATGGTTCTTATAATACTTATCAGGTCTAACAATGTCATATTTTTGTCTGGTGTTATGATAATTAACAGGAGAGGTTTTTTGAAAAAAACTAAATAAATAAAAACATATAAAAGAAATAAAACATTCATATAAAGTTGTGTGTGAAAACTTCATATATAAATTTAATTTGTATCTGCCAATAACTATTTACCAATAAGTCAATAATTGAGTCGCAAAAGATGGTTAAGCTAAACCCAACAATATATTTAATGAGTTAATATACAATTATTGTAATTCAAACAAAGAGAGAAAGTGTGCATTTAATTTTTTTACAACCGCCTAATTTTTAACAAATAATTCAAGAAATATTACTTTAATCTTAAAAGCCAGTAAAAGAGGAAACACTGTTTCTACACAAACATGAAACCCTCGCTTGAATTTTCCATACCAAAGCTGGCCGAAGTTCTATTGTTCAAACTTCCTTTGTATGTGACAATTATTTGTCTTCATGCAAGATAAATGTTTGTTATATTCAGTACTAATTTCTGCAGTTTACTTTCGAACCGTTTTAAGTTAGTTGTGTTTTGTGAATAATACTAACCAAAGGTTAACATTAATTGTGATACATTAAATTAGAATTATTACGTTATTTTGTCATACAAATCTGTCATACAATAGTTCTTTTGTGCTCCTTTTGAAATTTAATTTGATTTTTCAATATTATATTTTTGTCTCTCTTGTATTCAAATATTTTTAACAATATGCAACGAGGAAAGTTTGGTAATAACTGTATATTTAAAAACGAAAGTAGAAATATCTATTTGCTTCGGAACGAACCATACATAAAATATATGGTTTGCTATGGCTCTTGTAGAATATATATCTATGTAGGTAGCCTATTGAATCTTTATTTGAGGAATATCTAAAGTTATACAACTAACTTGCCGATGAAAATTATCCAAACTATTAAATAACTGAAAAGTTTAGGTTACCATTACGTACACAGGGTGAACAATTTAACTATGTCGCCATTGGTATCTCGGAAACTATTAGATTTAGAGACGAGACAACACTAATGAAAACACCTTTGTTTTATTGCATTTAAAATATAAATAGGTACTGTAGGAGTGTTAGATTATTTAATAATACGATTTTCAATATACAGCAATAAAATATATAAAAAATATAATAACCTTCAATAGGTGCTCACGCTTTTTTGATACATTAAAAAAAAAATTCGCTAAATACATTGCCAGTTGTTTTAAATAAAACTTAACATCATTACATGCTAAATTCCTTGACGATTTTGTGATCACTTCTTTAAATTAGTTAATTCTGCAATGAACCTGTGTAAAAATTATTATTGTTTCCAGTTTAAAATAGTATTTTTTTTTTTTAATATTTTAAAGTTTAAGGAGTAGTTAATAGAAAGTGTAATAACAGTGTGAGGGGGGAGCGTTGTGGTTTTAACATCGACAGCCTTTAAGTTATAAATTAATAAGTTATAAATTAAGTTATATATTAAATACTGTTGATTGAAGCCAAGAGGTTGCTGTAAAAAATTGTTTCTTCTGTTTTCTCGTAATAAATAAGCTGTTATTATTAAAAAAAATCATTTTTAATACATTGGAGGTTTAAAGTAGTACCTAGGGAGTAAAATTCAGCTGTTATAAACTCAGATGTAAATTTCGATTGTAAGCCATTGTATACCCTTGTAGTTTTTTGTAAAACGAGTTATTTTTGTAACTATGTTTTTATGCAAATATACACAGAATATATAATTTTGGTCTTATATTTTTCGTAAAGATGACTTTTTAAAATTAATATTTTGATCTTACTGAGTGTGAACTTGATTTTGACTTTTTTTCCGAGTCCCCTCAAACAGGGTTGTGGTTTTGAATCTCCTCAAGGAATCATCGTTCTCATTCCCATAAAACCTAGTCTGTATTATATTCTGCTTAAAAAAAAAATAAATAAATAAAAAAAAAATAATTCACACATTTTATCGTTTTTATTTATTTTTATTTCGATTTTCCCTTTATGAACCGTACCCATGTCTTTCAAATAACAAGCGTTGTAGTAAAATATTTCTTACTTTGACGTAGTTATAGTGTATTTATTTGATAATATACATTATACTTTATAGGTATTCTAAGCAACACACTAGAGTATACTCTGATCAGAAGTCATTACTAGTCCAACGATCTATCATCTGTGACTTTCAGAGGCGAGACTCTGCGACAAATGTTGCAATTAAACATCTTTATTTTTTTTTATTCGTTAAACCTAGTCAGTTGCATATTTATTTAGGCCTGAAACACCAATTTTTGTATTCGTAAACCTAATGTAAGATCCTAATGTTTACGTATAAATATTAATTCAGAATATTTAGACATTTACGTTTGAAATATTTTTTTTTTCTAAAAAAAAAAACTGAAAACCTAATGATGGCTCTAAATAGGAGCCAAAACTAGTTCCAACTGAAATTAAATTGGTCGCTTACTAGCGAGTATTTAAGCCTTTTATTGTTTAATTCCATGTAAACGTTTTAAAAAAAGAATCTAAGATTTATTAAGCATGAATTGTCCCTTTAATTAGTAGCAACATCAAAGTATGCAGACAAATTACTGCGAATTTATAAGTTTGTCTGAGCTCAAACAAGAAACTTATTGAAATCCCAGACTGATTGTTCTTTTGTAAACTTCCAAACAACTTTATCTGAAAATTGTCAATGACAATTACCTCTGTAGCTACAGATTACTAGAATCATAATATATCCGATTCTTTTTACTATACCCACCTTTTAAAACTTGTCCTTGGAAATATAGTATTAGAATTAATAAATAACCTTTCAGTAGTTGTGATATTTTACTATGGAAAACAACTTAGAGTATGTACCAGTGTGCCACTAAATTTGTAGCTCTAATCTTATAAAAGATTTATAAAAAAAAAAAAAATTGAGATTAAGGGTTGTCTCTTTGTGAGAATACCGAGTAGTATTTCCTAGATAATTCTTAAAAGAATAATTCTCTTTGAAACATGAACTTGTTAAATATGGTTAAACTCTAAATACCGTGCTTGCTAGACTAAACATGTACTTGCAGTCAAAACTGCGTTATTGGTGTAAGGCTATATATATATCTTCACAACTTGACTACTTTCAGTTTATGGGGCAATATTGATGACAAGTAAATCTATACAGGGTGTGGAAAAAAGGTGGGGCATAGTTTACGTAGTAGTGATTCCTTAAGTCAAAATAAGCACGGTAACACA